CGGCTCCCCCCCCCCCCCCCCCGAGATAGCATCAAGTGGTATTTAAATAGGTTAAACAACCCCCTAACCTCAACACCCACGGCCCGCAATAATAAAAATTGGCTTTTCCAGGTGAAATCTGAAGGCTTCCCTTATCAGTTTATCGCGAACACACGACAAGCTGGCACATGGGTATGTCTTTTGGATGCCAAGTGTCCACCCACCAGAGTCTGCACCCCGTTGCCTTACAGCCGGGTGTGCAAGCGTGCCCTTTTCCAGGCCTGCCTGATGCGAACGTCGCATAACGGGGGCTGCGTGCACGCACGTGCTCGCGCGGGCAGCTTTCCCTCTAACAGCAACCTGCCATCGCCGCCAGCTCAACGTTTGTAAACCCAAGCCTCACCCTGCCCTGCCGGGTTCTTCCAGCAAAAGGCAGCTGGCGATTGCTTTTTTTTTTTCCTGGCTGCAACAAAAAAAATTCTCCTTGAAATACAGCCAAAAGAGTTAAAAAACGGCCAACGAAAATGCCTTGTTCTTCTCTGATCAAAATGGAAATCCAATGACGTATAGTGCTGGGCAGAACAGACTGTGAGGTTTTTTTCCTTTTAGGCTGGGTTTTGGGGTTTTTTTTTAAATCTTTTCCTAAAAAAAGAAATGTAGTTTCGAAATGGAACAGGTGAAATATTCCAATTTTAAAATGTCTGAAAAAAATACTTTAAAATAGCCCCCAGCTGTTACCCTGCGGTGCAAAGGGGGTTTCCAGCCCACGCCGGGCTCCACGGCGTGGCTGGTAAAGCTCGCACCAGGGATGCTGGTCTGGAGGAGCTGCATATAGACGTACCCAGCGGGAACATATACATGGGCAATAACATGAGACTGTGTCGAATTAGTCCCATTTCCATACCTCAATGTTGATGTAAACGCTACTCATGAGGAGGAACGTATCATTTCCTTCAGATAATGGTCCCCACGGCTGATTATCTCATTGTTACCTACTTACATCTGGTTTCTAATCTGATTAGAAGCAAAGACGCGCCGAGGGCTTTGCAGGGCTAAACCCTGGGGAGGGGGGGGTCTCCCCTCTGCCGGGCTGGACCCCTCGGGCTGCCGGGGCTGAAGGCGTGCGCTTGAGATCTGGGGGGGTCGCTTTGCCGTTACAAAGTGCAACCTCTCTGTCAGCATCCAGGAGCTGCTTTCTCAGCTAAAAATAGGCTAATCCCTGCAGCAGGAGCTGAATTAATATAAAAATGACACTGCCAAATGCGCATTTTCTCCATTCTTAGCCTTTCAGGCTCGAATGTAAAATCTGAACATCTTCGCTTTGCAGCCTTTAGATACATCCCCCTCTGGTTTTAGCTATGCAGAAGCCAAAAGCCTTTGCATACCAAAACCTCCGCTGGAATACTGTGCAGTCGTGAAGGAGGAGCAGAAAATCACTCTCGAATGCCTGACCCCGCTTGTCCAGCTTTAATTTTGGCATTGTGAAATTAACGGTTGCATCGGTTCGTGAAAGAAGAGGGGTCTCCCAAGAGGACTGCTCAGCAGAAGGCCCCACGTCACCTTCGAGGGCGGCAGTTGCCCCCGAGCGCGTGGCCCCCCGAGGGCCTGTCGCACCCGCATGCGATAACAGCGTCACGGCAGGCAGCGGCGATTGCCAGCGGGGCTGGCGGGCAGCAGTTTGTCCAACTTCGGTTTGCGCGTCTTTCTGATCGGAAGGAAAAATATGCCTAAAATACCCTACTGTTTGAGGGATTTCAATTAAATTTCAACTTTAAAAATTTCAGTTAACGTCACAATTTCAATTAAAAAAAAAAAAATAAATCACAAAATGAGATAATACCGTTACCGCTGGAGCAGAACAGCCAAGCACAGAAAGAAGAGAGATTTAAAATGCGTTAAATCATATTGTAGGATTTTGCTGCTTCCAGTTTCGTGCGGGAGCAGCCATCGCACTGCATATCCCACCCTTCTCCCCGGGCAAATATGTGTCCTCATCAATCATTACTTCCAAAAAGAGGTGACAGAAAATGAGTTGAAACCAATGAAATCCAAATGGGGGTTCTGGGCTTCTGATTGCGCAATGGTACAGAGTCACGCAGGGCTCCTCCTGAAAATCTCTGGCTCTTACACAGAAGACGTGAGATGCTTCACGGCCGTGTTACGAGAACCAGCAGCTCAAGGCAAAGAGCAGCATCAGAAAAACCCAAGTTTTTCCCCGACTTCAAAGTGCCCACAGTAGGAGCATCACCCACTGCCCTTTGAAGTCAGGGGAGAGGCGTCGTCCCCACCCAGGCGTTTGAAATTCGACATTTTAAGCGGTATTATTGTTACATTTTTCTCGGAAAGCTCTCTCTTGCAATCACAGAATCATAGAATAGTTTGGGTTGGAAGGGACCTCTAAAGGTCATCTAGTCCAACCCC